GAAGGTAGTGGCATATGGCTCGAGGCAACTCAAGGTGCATGAGTAGAATTATCCCACACATGACTTGGAGCTGGCTGCGGTGGTGTTTGCTCTTAAGTTGTGGAGATGTTATTTATACGGGGAGAAATTTCAAGTGTTCTCAGACCATAAAAGCCTCAAGTATATCTTCACATAGAAAGACTTGAATCTCTGGCAGAGAAGGTGGATTGAGTACTTGGAAGATTATGAGTTCACGCTCAACTACCATCCGGGGAAGGCCAATGTAGTTGCCGACGCTCTTAGTAGGAAGTTTCAGGGTGAAATCAATTTTTTGCAGTAAATAGGTGAAAAATGATTGATGCATTGGAGGAGTACGATCTATGGGTGGATGGACCGGAGTATCAACCATATCTATTCAACCTTGTAGCTCAACCGACACTTCGGCGATGGGTAGTGGAGTTGCAATGCCTGGATTCGAAACTCGATTGGATTAGAGCCCGATTGGAGAATGGAGAGGCGATTGAAGGATGGTCTTGGAAGAATGGAGAGTTGAGATATGGGGAGAAGCTATGTGTTCCCGATGATTCATCCCTAAAGGAGGAGATACTGGGAGAGTGTCATTGCTCCAAGTTTGCTATCCACCCCGGTAGCACAAAGATGTATAAGGACATGAAGCGTCAATACTGGTGGAGGGGAATGAAGCGAGATGTGACCAAGTATGTGGCAAAATGTGCAGTGTGCTAGCAGGTGAAGATTGAGCATCAAAGGCCAGGAGGAGTCCTACAGTCTTTGTCTATTCCAGAGTAGAAGTGGGATCACATTACCATGGACTTCGTGTCGGGTTTACCACGGACGTCGCGCAGGCATAATGCAGTGTGGGTTATTATGGATAGACTCACCAAGTTTGCTCACTTTTTGGGTATGAAGACCATAGATACATTTGAGACTTTGAGCCATCTGTATATCCGTGAGATAGTGAGGTTACATGGCGTTCCGCTCTCAATTGTGTCGGATTGTGACTCTAGGTTTGTGGCGAGATTCTGGTAGAGTCTACAACAAGCGATGGGGATGGAGTTACACTTCAGTACAACTTTTCATCCCCAAACGGATGGCCAATCTGAAAGGGTGATACAGATTATGGAGGATATGTTACGCGCTTGCGCGTTGGACTGCAAGGGGAGTTGGAGCGACCACTTACCGTTAGTGGAGTTTGCTTACAACAACAGCTATCAAGAAAGTATTGGGATGGCACCGTATGAAGCATTGTATAAAAGACCATGCCGATCACCGACGTGTTAGTTAGAAGCCGGCGAGAGTAATTTGTTTGGACCGGACATTGTTCGAGAAACTACGAAGAAGATTCAACTCATCCGAGAGAGGCTACGGACGACGCAAAGTAGACAGAAGAGCTATGCGGACCACAGACGAAGACCCTTAGAATTCAAGGTGGGAGACTACGTATTTCTCAAGGTGTCACCCAAGAAAGATGTGTTTCGATTCTGCAAGAAGGGGAAGTTAGCTCCAAGATATACCGGACCGTTTGAGGTAATCAAAGCGGTAGGCAAGGCGGCATATTAACTTCGACTACCAGCCCAGCTATCCAGAGTACATGATGTGTTCCACGTGTCCATGTTGAGAAGGTGTCCCTCGGATGCAACTCCAGTCGTGAACTTGGAGGAGATTGAAATTCAAGACGGAGCAACCTACGAAGAACAACCAGTAGAAATTCTCGACGCCCAGGAAAAAATGCTTTGCAACAAAGTTATCAGATTGGTGAAGGTTTTGTGGCAACACCATGGAGTGGAGGAAGCTACATGGGAACCAGAGCAAGAAATGCAGGAGAAATATTCATATTTGTTTGCTACTTGAGGTAAGTTTCGAGGACGAAACTTTCTTTAAGGGTGGTGGATTGTAACACCCCGCATTTTCTTTTATATATGTATATAGATATATAGTAAATAATTATGGTAAAAAAAATGTGGATATATGGAGTGATGTGTGTTTGAATTTGGTAGATTAAAAAAGTAGAGATTTAAAATATTAGTGAAAATAATAGTTGAAATTTAGTTTTAATAAGTCAAAATATGAAATTTTAGGTCCTAGAACTTGTATTAAATAGGTTTGGTGTAGAAATATGTGTTGAAGAGGTTTGAGATGGATTTGGTTGACTTAGGAATGGATTGGAAATGGAAAAGGGACGAAGACAGGCTGTGAACAGTGCACTGCTAGAACTTCAAGCTCAATTTACACCTTCATACAATCAATATCTCTCAAAACTCAAAACATGAAAGTTTTAGAGCTCTTTCATATCATTCCATAGCATCTTGAATCATCTCAATCGGGGCTTAGATGAGAGAGTTATGCTCAGATAACGAAACGATGTCGAAATAGTCCAATTCGCTTCGTTTTGTATTTAATGTCTCCATTTGTATCCTAAATCAAAATATAAGAATAATGAGTATTTTTAGGCTTCAAATAAGTATAAAAGGCTTTAAGAAACACCCTTTATCACCTTTTATTTGCAAACATTACAAAATTTCATTAATAGCCGATTCAGATGAGTAAAATAGAAACTTTAGTGTTTCGAGTGTACGTTGACTTGGGTTTTGAGATAAATCAGAAAAATAATTTTTTTAGGTTAAAATAAAATTAAAAATTAATCTGGAACGTCGACAAACCTTAGGGTAGTCATATGGATCAAATTGGAGATTCTTAGTGGTAAAACCGTAAATTTAGAGAAACCCAAAACAGCCCGTGAACAGTGTTTTTCGGGGCTGCTATGTTTTAAACTCATTTTCATCTCATTTGCTCTAATTTCCTTTACTCCCTTCACACCCCCACACCTCTTGAAACCCTAGAGAGCATTAGAGAAAAAGAAAAAAAAGGAAAAAACAAGAGATTCAAGATCAAATATTCTTGTTCTTCACACCAAAGCTAAGGATTCAAGGTAGGGGTTTTCTCTCATTCACTTACATTGAGGCTAGGGTATTTATATATGTATTTTTTGACTATCAATGGTATATATATGTTATGTAATCATCATCTCTTAGGCTTTTTACAAGGATTGCATGTTTTGAACAAAGTATGATTTAATACCTATGAAATCTCCTTTCCAGTTTTAAAACCCTAACTTTTGGAGAGTGATGTATTTCCTTCCTAAATGCTTTCTTTATTATGGATTTTGAAACCTTAGTGCTTTGTGTTGGGTAGAAAAATGATGTTATTGTGATCTCATGTATATTCTTAGTTGGTTGTGGAATTGTTATATGATTTATTTTGAGAATTTTGGATAGATGCTTGTAAATTGAGTAAATGTTGGAATTGTATACTTGGTTAGGTTGTTTGTGATACACATGAGTGAGAGGTTCCTTGTAAGAATGCTCACCCCTTCCCAAGAGGTTCCCGGTAAGGATGCTTACAAAATAATGTAGTGATTGGTGAGAGGTTCCATGTAAGGATGCTTATCCATTTTCAAGAGGTTCCCGGTAAGGATGCTTGAGAATCAAAGGTGACCTAAAGGGGGCTGGAGGTTACCACAAAGTATGTCACCTACCGAAAGAATTGTTGGGAATTGGTTATGACAATTAATAGTTATTATTTGTATGTGGTGCTCGTTTATTCATTTAAATAATGTTTTTAAATAAACTTGAGATCCTTTTTAAATGTCACTGCTTTATTTCAAATTATGTATCTATGTTATGTTAAAATTGAGACCGACTGTTTTAAATGCTTTTCTAAACCTTGTATGAGTTTGGGATAATTTTTCTACAGAGCTTCGTGCTCACCCCCTATCGCTAACATTTTTCAGATTATCCGCTTGAGGAGGAGGACTTAAAGGTCGAGGAGCCCGCTACTTGGGAGACTCTACTGGACGGGAGTGTGGATAACGAGGTGGACGCATAGAATGACCTCCTTTCCTTTTGTACTAGACTAGGACATTCTTTTGGAACATTGTGTAGTCTAGCTTCTTTTGTTTATTCCGCTACGATTCTTTAATTAATTTTTGAGATGTAATAGCCATGACTTGAGCTTATTCTTTTGGATAATGTTGTAAATATTCGTGAATGACAAATGAAGTCTTGTTTCTTAAGGGATTATATTAGTGCTCTCATGATATGAATGATTTTAGAATGTAATGCCGTCTAGGGTGTGTTTTGGGGGTGTTACAGAAAATGTCACAAAGGGCAGTGATGATGAAAAGGCAAAAAATGGTTGACAGATGAAAGACGTTTGTCAGATGTTTTCTTGGGGCAAATGAAGGGGCTAGCCCCTATTATTACACTTGTAATGACATTAAATGAAACCCACATGAGGTTGACAGGACATATCATGTGACGGAGAAATCATTCACACAGCCTTATAAACTGAGCCATGTTGATCGATAGGTTCAAGAATGAAAGAAAGAGTTCGATTATCTTTATAAGCGAGCTCATCAGTTTGTTCAACTAAGCAAGGAAAGAGTTCGGCTTGTACCAAACCGAGTTTATTAAAGTGTTCGGGATGGCGATTGAAGAGAATGGTTTGTGCCAAACCAAAACCCTAAAACTGTTCAGCAAATATCAAATGTGTTCGGCTATTCGATATGTTCGAGTTGTTCAAAACGATAGATGAAAAGTTATAGATTTGCCTATAACTTAGGTAATTGGATAAATGAATCAATGAAATTATAGATATCGGGAGGAATTGTTGGAGAAATATCAACAACTTTCCAAATCGAATCACTGAATTGAAGGAAGGTGTGCCACCTTGAATCAAAAATCACGAAAACCTTATGAGGATGACCATCTATAAAAAACAAAGAAATCCAAAGTGAAAGGTATGCTGAACTCTCTTGGTCTTCTTCCATTCGTTCCAGTATCTTTACTGACTTAAGCATCGGAGTGCCTTCGATTGAAGCACTTCGATCTTGGATAGTTTGTTCATTTTGTAGGTAGAGGAAGGCTGGGAGATCAAGTTCAGAAACACATCAAATTTTCAATTCTAGTGAAAGGTTTTCTCAATTTTTTTTTGCCTCTTACAAGATGGTTGATGTGTGGAGTGCCGGTGTGATTTTGTACATAATGTTGGTAGGAGTTCCGCCGTTCTACGGCGAGACGGCGGCTGAGTCGTTTGAGGCGGTGCTGAAGGGAAATTTTAGGTTTCCAACAAGTATTTTCAGGTCGGTGTCGCCGGAGGCGAAGGATCTGTTGAGGAAGATGATCTGTAAAGATGTGTCCAAGAGGTTGTCGGCTGATCAAGTTCTGAGTATGTGCTTATTCTCTTTATGAATATTAATGCTTCATCTTTTCCTGTGATTTTTGATCCATTAAATAGCTGCATGTTTCTTAATTCTCTCTGATTTTTGTTTTCTCAAGTTTCATTCACAAAAAAAAAAAAAAAAAAACTTCAGATTGGTCTTGAGAGAATGAATGCAAAGAACAAAGGTAAAAAGTTCCAATTTTAGATTGGTTTTTGGAACCCCAAATTGTTACCCTTTTTTTGGTTGCTAAGAAAATGAGGGGAACAATTAGATGACAAAAGTTTGACTTTTGGCATTTTTCTTGGATGATGATGTTTCTCATACGTGTAAAAACTGAAGTCTGAGTAATCTAAATCAGGGTTAGGTTGAGTTGGTTGTAGTTTTTTGGTTTTTTCGGGCGGAAGTTGTTCCAAAAGTCAAAACTTTGACCTCTTTTGTTCTGTTTTCCTCTGTTTTTCCCATTTACCAAAAGAGCTCTTTTACCTTCTGTATATCTTTCTTCCATTCTTAGCTTTTGTTGTTTGTTTAATGCAGGGCATACATGGGTCATTATGGGAGGAGAGGCTGGATCGATGGCTGATCTCACTTGAAAAATTACTGTTACTTACTAGCAATCCTTTGTTGTATATGCACCATGAAGAAAGAGGAGTGATGATAGTGCCAATGAATCTTTTGCAGTTTAGACTTGCACACTTGTGTGACACAAGGGACTCCCTTCTTTTTGGCCTGTTTTTTTCCGTATGGTTTTGAAGAAGAATCTGAGACTATATATATAAGGAATGAGGAGTGATAAATAAAGATAATATTATGCTTACCAAATTTTTTTATTAAATCTTCATTTTAAATGATGTGACGGTTTTTTACTATCAGATAAGTGAGTTTTATTAATATTCAACAATGAAGATTGTGTCACATCATTTAAAATAAAAAATCTGGTAAGAAAATTTAGTAAACATAATATTTTCCAATAAATAAAAGTTGCATTTAAATCACATGCTGAGAATCCGTTCTTTCCATGCCTTCTGTTATTTAGAATCTAAGGGGGTGAGGAACTGAAGTAAGGAAACAGTTGTGATTGAATTGTCTGCGGAAGTTTTAAATTTTTTTTGTTTCGATAGTCACTGATGTCTGCGTTAGTTTACACGGATTTTGACTATTTTTTTTTTAGTTCAATCAAAAATAGATCATTCAAGTTAAGAAAATGATAGTTATGAGAGATAAATTTCTTATAACATGACGGAAAGAGGTTGTTAAAATTTAAACTCATTAATGCAAATTTGAAATAAGATTTTTCATTTTTTGGGGTTTTCAATCTTAGGTGATTTTTGATAGAACTGAATATTAAAAATTGAATGATGACGGTGGCAATGACACAATGGTGGATATGGTGGTGACAGTGGCACAATGACAAATGTGGTGGTGGTGGCACAATAGTGATGATGGTGGTTGCAACGCCACAATGGTGGTGGTGGTAAAATGGTGGTGATGGTGGTGGCAGTGATACAATGGTGGTGGTGGTGGTTGTGACGGTGACACAATGGTGGTGGTGGTAGTGTCACAATGGTGGTAGTTGTGAATTGTGAGTATTAAAAATTTAAGAGTGTAAAATACATCTAAGATATATTTGTTCATTATGAAGAATTTATAAAATCTTTATTCACTAAATATTTCAATATTAAGGGATAAGTAGATAGTTTGTTACTTAAAATTGTGACTTATGTTTAAAAAGTACTTAAAATATTAAATGGTATGAGTTTTAAGTTATCAAAGAGTTTAATTCATTAAGTGCTTAAAGTATACAATTTTTAGTATTAATTGATGTTATCAAACTGAAAACTGAAAGATGAATGTTAAATTCTTAGATTGTTTGGTACCCACTAAAATTCAAGTAATAAATTGAATCAAACTGTTTGATAATTATACAGAGTTGACGCTTGAAAAAAATTAATTTTAAGTTTTACACTTTCATTGTTTACTTTGAAAATATTTATAAAATATGTTTTTAGCTAATAAAATAATAACAAATTGAAGAACACAATAAGTGAACAATAATTAATAAATAATAAAAAAATATTAAAAAAATAGAATAAATTAGTTTTTATTAACAACAAATTAAAAAAAAAATTATCCATATGTGTGTGTGATTGTGTGTGTGCACAGAGTATGTGTGTTTATGTGTGTAGTGCATGTGTGTAACCGAGCATGTGTGTATGTAGTCCGTACATGCGTGTGTGTTATTTTGTACATGTAATTATGTATGTATATATGTGTCATAGAAAACAAGGGAAGTAGATAAGGATAAAGACTTACATGTGTCGCTCACCGAAGAAGACGATCAAGACAATAAGGAAGATAGATAGGCTAGAGGTTTTGGGGAAAAGACTAATTATAGATTTATTAGAATTGTGAAATATTTCAGAGCAGAGTCTATATTAAAATTATTATTAATGATGATTTTATTGAACACTTTCAGTTTTTAGAATTAAATAAGGGGTCCCTAAATATTATAGCCTATTTTTAAAGAGTACTTAATATATTAAGATATTAAAATTTTAATTATTAAATGAATTTAATTAATAAATACTAAATACATTCATTTTATTAGTTAAACTTGAATTAATAAACACACAAGTTTGAATTTTGGTTAAAGCACATTATAAGCGCATGACTTGGATTGCAAGGGTAAGGAAGTCAAGGAACTGAGGCGGCCCAAGGTAAAGCGGGGCTAGGCAAAATTTTCATTCGAGGCCCTATTAATATTTTGTCTATTAATATATTTTATTTTTAATTATTATAATTTTTTAAGTTTTAAAAAATTATTTTTTATTTTTTAAAAAATTTAAAATATTGATCAAGTTTTTATACTCAAGTTTTGACAATAAATTTTTTTAATAGATAATATTGTTAATTTATTCACTCTTACTTGATTGTAAATAAATTTTTATCAATTTAAGTTTTTAACAGGTAATTTAATAATAGAATATATGAGCAAATAATAATTTTAAGATAACAAAGAAGTCTTTACCTATGAATAATGTGCACGCATGAAGTACAAAACTTTAATACCATAGACAATTTAAGTATAAATTATTTGGACTAAAAATTTATATAAGACAAAAAATGAACCAATTTTATAGATTTTCACTACAAAAAATAATGAATATAAATTTTTTATGTGAGTGAGTGGAATACAGCTATGAACACACCCAAAATATTTAGAAAATTTTAAATCAAAGCTTACACAAAGGAGTAATTTTGGACCAAAAAAATTAAATATTGATTTAAACCATTAACATTTGAGGCCTACAAATTTAAATCATATCTAAAATTCAAAAAAATAAAAGTAAAAAAGACTATTATACTAAAGTGGTAAATTTTATGAAGGTCTCTAAAATTTGGGCTTAACTAAGTATAGAGTAATTTTGGTTCTAATAAAATTAGATACTGCTCTGAACTAATAAAATTTGGGCCCTAAAATTTTAATCATATCTAAAATAAAAAATAAAAAATAAAAATTTAGGTCTACTATACTAAAAGAATAAATATGTTCAATCAGTAATCTGAAACTATATTTAATTTTTTTATATTTTTTAAATGTAGTATTTGTTGAAAATTAAGAAAAAAATAATGTTTATTAGCCTTTGTTAACATTTAAATTTGGTGGTGAGTTTGATTGTGAGAATATAAAAACTATTCTTGATTTTATAAGACTAAATCATATGGTACATATTTGCTAGAGTAAATCATATGGTACATAGTTTTTATTTGACCCTTATTTGCTAGAGTAAATGGTTAGATGTGAATCAAAAAAAAATCTCCAACCAATTAATAATCTTTTTTTTTTAAATCAGAATTAATAATTTTTTACCCTAACTTAATCCTTCTTTTTCTTTTCAATAAATTTTCTGTCTTAGTTGATCAAATTACTGAATTCCCATCAATTATTTCTAATTTACATCCATAAAAAAAATATAAAAAAAACATTTTTGCTTATATCTAAATTATTAGCTTCTCTTGTATTAGATCAAACAGCAATCGAGTTGTTTCGGATTGTGTTCAAACTGTGTCATTTCGAATTTGTATTAAATATTATTCAATTTTAAGTTAACCAAAAATTAATTTTCGTTTGGGTTGTACGACATAATTAAGATTAAATACATTACTGATTAATGTTAAGTTAAATAGTACGAATTAAATATGATATAATAAGACTTAATCATATGGTACGACGCTTAAACAACGTATGACTAATATGTACTTTTGTCCGATTTTCAGGTTTCCTTTTGACAAATGCGAATCTTGCCATGTTTGATATACAGTCTCGAGTAAATTATGGTTTTTAAAATAGGATCCTTTTGTCATTTAAGTTTTAAATTTTTTTTATGTGTCAATTAAACATCTAAACTCTCTAATTATGTTAATTAAGTCATTTTGTCTGCTCCCGTTAGAGTGTGTCACTCACGTGACTAGGAAAAGACAGAATGACTTAATTAATACAATTAGAGAGTTTAGAAACTTAATTGACAAAAAAAATAAAAATTCAATAACTTAATTGACACAAATGTCATAATTTAATGCCCATATGTTTAGTTTATTCCAACTTATTTGAATTACGCGAGTGTCACACTTAGCCACTTCTATTAGAAAGTTTAATTCATTTGTGCCGCTTTGCAATATTATTGTTCAAGTAAATTTAATTAGGGGAAGATTATGATATTATTATCTAACCAAATTTATAATTTTTTCAACACAAGTTATAATTTTTGAGGTAAAAGTTACAACCGAAAAAAAGGCATGATTAATCTTAAAATATTATGATCGATCATGAAAAATATGACTTTTGAAGGCAAAGTTATAATTTTTAAAGGTCAAGTTATCTATATCTATTCTATACTATTTCTAAAAGTGGCTTAAAGAGAATAATTTTTAATTTTCTTATACCCTTTAATAATTATATAAAGTCTAATGAGCCAAGCCCAAGGGCTCAACTTATGTTATAAGCATAATATGAATAAAGGGTCCAACTAGAAAAGATCCAATAGATCTAGCCCAAAAGAGGTCCACGTCCAGTCAAGTTCATCAGTTTCGGGGAGCTACATCACTAAGGCGTAGTAGGGAGCGTCATCCCAAGAGTCTCATCCACGCCGCCTTAGAAACAGTCAACCACCATGTCATCATTTGACCTAATTTTAAGGGGAGCTTCACAACTGGCTCATCTGTTGAGAAGATAGTGTCAGTTCCATCAGATGAATCACTTAGTTACTGAAAATGCGCCTCAGTCTGTTAAAAAATATTATAAATTGTAAGCCCCGCTAATACTTGGGGGCATCGAGCAAATTTGTTATCATTCTTGTCTCTCTTATAACTTGTTCTCGCTCTCCGTTGATCTCCTTACATTCCTTAAAGTAATAAAACATCAGGCCATCCTAGCACTTTATAGTGGAGTATGTCACGTTGATCAAATTATTCTACATCTTTGTCTTGCTTGTATTACTATTTTTTTTACTTAATTACTCCATTAATTACTGATCACTTGACAGGTGGTGCATAAAACTAATTTGTGCATCATCAGTTTGGCGTCGTTGGAACT